AAGAGACAGGGGCCCCTCGGGCATCCCGGGCATCGCAGGACCCAGCGGTCCCATTGGTCCCCCAGGGCTGCCAGGGGCAAAGGGTGAGCCCGGCCTGCCCGGCCCCCCCGGCTTCCCTGGCGTGGGCAAACCCGGCGCCGCGGGACTGCAGGGACCCCCAGGGAAGCCCGGAGCACTTGGTCCCCCTGGTCAGCCGGGACTCCAGGGGCCGCCCGGCCCCCCCGGCCCCCCAGGTCCCCCCATGATAATCCCACCCACTCCGCCGGCCGTGGGACAGTACCTGCCCGAGGTGGGGCCAGGGATAGAGGGCATCAAGCCCCCCTACGGCTACATGGGCAAGAAGGGCAAGGCCGGCGGCATCGTCTACGAGATGCCGGCGTTCACGGCGGAGCTGCTCACCCCCTTCCCCCGGGTCGGGGTGCCCGTGAAGTTCGACAAGCTCCTCTACAATGGCCGGCAGAACTACAACCCCCAGACGGGGATCTTCACCTGCGAGATCCCCGGCGTCTACTACTTCGCCTACCACGTCCACTGTAAAGGGGCCAGCGTCTGGGTGGCGTTGTTCAAGAACAACGAACCGCTGATGTACACCTATGACGAGTACAAGAAGGGCTTCCTGGACCAGGCTTCGGGCAGCGCCGTTGTCCAGCTGAAGCACGGAGACAAGGTTTACGTTCAGATGCCCTCTGAGCAGGCGGCAGGACTCTACGCTGGGCAGTACGTTCATTCGTCTTTTTCTGGATATTTATTGTATCCCATGTAAAACAAACACCAGATACACACACAAAATCAAAACCTTTCTTCTCTGCTTCAAACTTTTATACCGTGAAAGATGCATTTTATGACCGTTTTGGACCATCTTGTACAAAAAAAAAAACCAAACAAAGTTTAACATTATGCACAGCTAGTTATAAAAAAACAAAGTGTGGTGAACATATCTAAAGATGCATATCAGGTTCATAAACAGTTGTTTTGCACCCGAGGGGGACATATTAGCTGTACATTATATATTTCTGTGATGCTGCCATGCTTTACTTCATTTTCATTCACAGTAATTCAGTACCAAGGTTCAGATCAGTGTATGTCACTCACTCCTGTCACATATTTGACTGTTGCACTGATCATAGTTACGAGATGAAAATCAGTGACTTAAACCAGAGTAGGTCAGTCTCAAATTATATGGAGTGGCTTTTTATTTGTTTGGGTAGGGGGTTTGGGGTTTTTTTTTGACAGCAGGTCTGCCTGACAAGCAAAGGTTCTCTCAGCTGGAGACCTTTATTTCTTTCCCCCCCCACGTAAAATATTCCTGCAGGTATAGTTTTTTTCCTGAACAACTTAGGATAGAAAAGGAGTACTGATGGTGTAACTGTTCCCCATGAGCCTTCCCCAGCAGTCACTAGACCTGGAAGGCTGCCCCTGACTCCAGCAGACACCTGAGTTCCTCTCCAGCTGCCCCGGCATTTGCAGAGCCTCTATCTGCAGTTGCACGGCTGAGGCAGATGAGGTAGATCCAAGGCAGAAATGCTCTGTGCCATGTGCCTGAGGCATTTTGGCCCACACAGGGCCATACATGAGGGCGGTATAAATTCACTGGGATTTCAGTGTTCATGCTAAGAACCTGTGTCTGCTTGGCTTGTCAGAAGAGACACCTAATTCTGCCACTCAGCACAAGTTAAATCCATTCACTCTTCAATGACTAAGCAAAGCAAAAGCAGCTCTGTTTGCTGATTAACTAATTTGTTGCTTGGGATCGACCGACAACTTTACCAGCAACACTAATCACACAAATTTATCCAAGAACTTCATGTTATAAAAAAGCTGATTTCCGATCCTTATTTATATGTTACTAATTGTCAAGGAGAACCTGCAGACCTTGATCTTTTCTGTACGTGAGGAGAGCAACTTCTCTGCAAGAGCTATCTGTTCATCAATGGTGCTAATCTCGCCTCAAAAGTATTTGTTTCCAAAGGGCAGTGTGGTTCTCACTTCGCTGCAGTTCCCTGTACAGTGCTGCACATCACACACTGTTACGCTAGTTGAATGAGTTAAATACTCATCACTTCTTCAATGTCTTTAGCTAACGCTACCGCTTTTGATTCAAAAATGAACTAGATTTTTCATGCAGAACTAAGATTGGATTTAACTGGCATTACCATTATTTAAATGCAGAGTTTAATGGAGTCTAACACTGACTAAGGACTCCAGTGATATAACGTGGTGCTTTATCTCAGAAATTTTATGGAACGGTGGCAGGAACAGACGGACAGTTTACCAGGCATTGGTGACTATTTGTATGTTCCCAGAATATATGAGATACGTCAAAAGCAAATAATTTTGTATTTAAAATTTTTGTACTGATTTGAAAAAATATCTTATTAAATATCTTTAAAAAAAAATAATCCTGTCTTCCTTCTAACAGTTCTGCTTAATGAACAATCAACCCACTGATTTCATATATCAGACCATGAGGACTGAAACCACTGACAGCCCTTTCCTTTAGTTCCCTTCTGCTGGGAAAACCCACCCTGTGGAGCGAGGGGACAGACACCCCCACTCAGCACGAGCCCAATTGGAGGCACAGCTTAAAAAGGTGCAGGAGGCCCAGAAATCAGCGGCTGTGGAGGTGCGTTCTTCAGGGTTGGTGCCTAAAAAGCCAGAGCTGGCTCCCAGGCTGGGAGCTGCACACCACGTCCCTGGCTCTCCCTGTGGCTTGGAAACAGCTTTTCCCATTCCTCCCCCTGCTCGTTTCTTCACCTGCAGCAAAAACCCAGTGTGAAAGCCACTGATCTACACCACAGTTCAACTGTGGCTCCACCATGGGAGAAAATTGTAACCCACAGCGTGGCTCCCCTTGATCTCACCTCAAAGACAGGCATTTCCTCCCAGCCGGCCCACTGCTGAACTGTCAGTACTACAATGAATGCACTGAATCCCTGCCTACGTCAGGTAATCGTTTTCTGAATCTCCCATAGACTCCCCAAAGCCACTGGCTGAGCAGGTCCCTGCTCCCCAGCATCTCATTTTTACTGCACAAAGAGAAAACAAAACATGACCCAAGTATCACAATCAGTGTCTCTAGTCTTTCATCTTCTGAAATGTCTTTCATCTTAGCACTCCCCTGAAAGTCCTCAATAAGCCAGACAAGACAAAAAAAAAAACATGAAAAATTTAAATCAGAAGGATGCTGCTCTTGATCTTACCCACAAAAACTATGTCCCAGCTATGCTTTTACTCAGCCTGGAGCGATATCTCTACCCACAGTAGAACTCAGCCTACCTAGGTTCAAAAATTGTCAGCTCTGCTCTGCCAAGCACCAAAGTTTGTACTGAAACTCACTACCACATCCCCATGTGGACTCTACACACCATTAACAATGGGGCTGGGCATGCACGCGCATCTGCACGCACACACAGCACTGACCTTGCAAAAATAAGCCTGAGGGCACCGTCTTTAATACAGTTTATTCACAGGAAAATAATCTCTTTCCATTTGTAGCATTCAAAATTTCACTCGAAACAACTGTAAGAATACCTTCAAAATACAGCTGGCACTTTAAAGGTGTATAAAACTTAAGACAAATGGCAAATAAAATATTTACCAAAACCAGATGTTGATCTTCCTATGTTCTTAAAAATCAGATGCCACTTAAAAGTTAAGGTATTTAAACTACCTCCCAGAGCACTGTTAAAAGGAAAGCGTGGTATGGGAAACAAGAGGCACCACACACTAATTATTAAACACCCAAGTTGTGATTCTGTATTATCATCACCACTACAGTCACTGGAAATGTCATTTAGTAGTATCTTTTAGGCACTCTCAGATTTGTATGTAGTGCAATAGTTCATGACCTTCCTTAAGTAATATCTCTGTACTTCCCTCAATTATTACAGCAGAGGAAAAAATATTTTCCCAACAGAAAAAAACAAACATAAAAACCCCCTAAAAGTCTGAGCCCAACAGAGCTTTCAGCTGCTGCATGCCATTCTGCCTGTTTTGTGCGTACTTTGGTACCTCAGAGCTGGGTCTGTCTGATGATGTAACATTTTGAGGGGCATGGCAGATAAAATTCAGGAGCAGCTTTGCTGTAAGATGCTGCTGTCTCAAAATTCAGCAGGCTGCCGGAGAACAGGACAGAGGAAGAAGGGATGAGACCATCTGACTTTGTAGCTGATACAGGAAGAATGACAGGAGACACTGGGCACCTACATAGCTACACTGTTACCAGATGTGGAACTAGAGCTAGCAGCACCCACTATTCAAAATTGGCAGCTTCGCTGGCTACTGTTGCAATTAAAAATTGGGTGGTTTTTAAAGGAAAGTTTCAGTGCAGAGACTTTGCCTTCAAGAATGGCAAAAATAGAAAAAAAAAAGTCTTAATAGCAGCTAGCTCTCAGAAAAGATCTAAGTATTTGGATTTATTGCTTTTTGAAAGGTCCCAAGGCAAGTCTTTGGTACTACAAAACGCCTGTGAAAATATGTGCCTGGTCCGAATAGACACTGTGATCTGTGAGCATTGCCCAGAAACACACTACGTGCAGGCTGGTGTTCCTGCCTGCATGAACGGAGTGTAAAAGTGATACCTGTCCTCAAGGCAGAGCAGCAGAAACAACTGCGTGAAGAGGGTGGTAAAACAGGGCTGGAGTACACAGAATCCTACCAAAACACCTTATGTGAGGGAAAATGAATCACCTGGGTCACTGCTTCTTATTGAAGAGAAGAGCTACTGGCCTGCAAATTGTGCTTTCAAAAAAACCAACTGGTACCCTGTGGTTTATCAATGGTATCAGCTCTTGGCTCAGCCCTGAGTGAACAGGTCTGGCTCTAAATGTTACTCACTCACCCTGGGACAGTGACCTTGGCATACACAGACTCGACAGCCCTGCAGAAGCATAGGAGGGAGAAAAAAAAAAAGATCCCTGGGAGTACTGCTTAATTTAATTTAAAAAATAAGCCAGTCATACAAATGGGAAGGCTTATTAAGAAGAAATACAAAGGAGCAAGTGATAAGGATAAATACTTGTAGACAGCATATTAAATGCATTGAGAATATCAAATATTATTTAAAAAGTCTTAGGGAGACAAAAGCTGATGGTAATACAACAAAAAAACAATAAAAGCATCTATTTTAAGTAAAAGAGTGGGGGGACAGATGGACACCATTTGCTTGCCATGAAGACTTTTTTCCGATTATTTTCTGGGGACTCTTAACTGTAGCAGAATAAAACCCAAAAAAAGCAGAAAACCTCCCAGGAAAATTAGGAGAAGGGGTCAGTGGGTCAGTTTAGATTAGTGGGAAGACTATCTCAGGACAGGAATAAAGCAGAGAAAATAACCACACCCTCAGCAGCACAGCTCCCCATCTACTTCCTGTCACCCGGGACAGGGTGCCCCATCCCAAGAACCAGGCACTGCGAGGAGAGGGCAAATTCAACAGCTCTCCGAGAATAAAAACCCTCAGGCAGCGTACAGGGAGAGGTCCCACAGTTCGTGGGAGCGCCGGGGCACCCGGCTCTGGGAGCCATCCTGGGTTCCCAGGGGGAGGAGGCAGCCCCCTGCTGCTGCCTGCCCCAGCTCTCAGCAGGGGCTGGGACCTACCCAGGGCTTCCAGGCAAAGGGAACTCGGACAACGCCGCCACCTTCGCAAAGCACCTTCCGTGGGCATGGTTTTCATGGGGAATTCCTGTTCTCAGTAGTTGAAATTGCTGCAGGTCTGGGGCTGCAGTCACATACAAACCTTTACAATTAACTGAAACAATCATAAGAAATAAATGCTGCTAGAGACAAAAGCAAATTTCTCCTCCAAGCCTCAGAAATATGCATTTACAAAAAAACAACACGAAAAGTAAACTCAAAAAACTGAGTAAGAGCCTTTCTGCCACCTGAGGAAGAAATTCTGCTTTCTCCCATCTCCACTATCAGTCACAGCTGCGGTGCCCCAGGACCTGCTGCACACTCCCCTCCTCCACACTCTGGACACAGCCCCAGCCCACAGGATGCTGAGGCACAGCCCATCCCTTGCTGGGGACATGTCTGGGTCCTTCTCTGCCCTCTGCCACAGATTTTTGACATCCAGAGTTATTTCAGATATGTTCTATTTGCTTGAAATGGACCAAAGCTCAGGAGTCATCAGGTGAAAACACAAACGCCCTCCCCTCAAAAATCACACTGACCTCACTAATTCCCAAGAGGCAGAGCCAAGGAGCTAAAGATGGAGATGAGAACTACGGGAAGGTGGTGTTTTGGTTTGTTGTGTTTGTTTTGGTTTTTTTTTTTAAATACTTACTGCACTCTGCAAGAGAAACAGGAAAAGAAAGATGATTCTTTGGTCACATCAATGCTTATTCCTCTACGTTGTCACAGCACAGAAATTGTGTTTAGTACTCTTGTAATCCTCAGCTTCTGAAAACACAATCACCATGCTCTTGAGCTGCTGGAGGTTTGTACTCATATTGTAATTGTTTGCACTGCTCCTAAACACACTAAAACTCTATATTATGAAAAAGCAGCATGGGTTTTTCTACCAACCTTAAAGACTTTTTTAAAGTAGACTTCTTTGTGCTTTAAGTGTGACTGATCAAGATAACCAACAAGATCTTCAAGCAAATCTGTGACAATTAAAAATATATATATACACACACGCCCATGAGAGAACTGGAAGAGCTTATTACTTGTTCTTCTTTGACAGTTGCCAAGGGCATTCCCAAGCAGATTTAAACTTATTCAGCAGCCTTGTCTGAGACAAACCAATACAGAAAACATAAATGTCCCATTAAATGTTTCAATTAAAATCCCAAGGAAGTTCCCACTGCTAAACGACTTAGTTCAGCCACATCCTTTAAACCTTCAATGTCAAGACAGGAGAGGTAAATAGAAACCAAATGACAATTCAGCTGAGGTACACATCTTGGACATTTCCTAGCACTCCACTGCCAAAACCGGGCACATTCATTGCTCATTGATGCATTTCAGAGGTGGAAATGCATTACAGCATCTGAGAGGAGATTGTGTTCGTTTGATAAAATACACCTCAGTTCTTGGAGAGCAAACAGAAATGTACATGAGATCCTGTTCAGAAGATCCAGGAACCCAACAGGCGTTGGCACTAATTTTACTCAGGCGTGAGCACCTCTGTCCCAGCTCATGTTTCTGTTGTGGTCTGGGGGAAGTAGCTGACATGCAGGTAGTTAGGACAACTCTTCAGTCTTCATACTCCCTCTTTTCTAAGTGAAGACACCAAGTGGGAAATTTACTGGAGGCCCAGCACAGGGAGTATGGTTTCCCATAAAATGGGTACAACACGAGCATTGTCAATACCAGCACCTCCACAGGTGAGGCCCAAGGGTCTGCACCTCTGGCCAAGGCAGCAGCTCAGCATCGATGGCCAGCACAGCAGCCGTGGCTTCTCTGCTGAAGATGGATGTCCCCTCCTCAGGAGTAGGGCAGACCAATACCTGCCCACTCTGTATGTTCCCCCCTTCTCCCAAACAGTGAGTAATGATTTATAGGCATTGTTTTAAAGCCATTTTCCTACTACAAGACAGAAGTTCAAGACTTTACAACCCTCTCCTAATTAAACACTGGTCGTCTCAGTCTCTTGACAGTGTAACTGTTTTGGAGGACAAAACATCAGAAACAGAAGTATTCCAGAGAAGTAATCATTTGAAAAGAGTTCTTGCTGATAAATAAACAATGTGCACCACATTATTATATATCCCTGATACTTTCAGCTGCAAGTTTCACGGTTTTCCCATTATTAAATAGCTTCACAGAAATTCAGTTAACTCTGTTTGCAACACTCCACTACCCTTAGGCTGAGAAGAAGCTTTTGCCTTGGTGAGGTTTCTGTGCTCCTTTTAAACAGTAAACAGTTAAGCTGCACTTAAAAAATAAAAATGTCATACAAAAAATAAAACTTTTTTAAATTTTGAAAATAGTGATTGTTCATCTTCTCCATTCAGCTTTCATGTCAAATTGACCACAAAGTTCTTGTCTATAAGCTTCTTCAAAAATTTCTGCTCAGCGTTGATGTTGTGGTATTCATTCTAAAGAGAAGAGAGGGAATAATAAAATAAATTCAATTCAAATTATTACCAGAAGCATCACTCTGCTGTTCTTTCCTTTTAATTACCTGTGATACTTGGAAGATGCTAATAGTAGGAAAGCTCTGGGGAAAAGATTTATTAGCAAAGGCTGTAGCACAGTCTCCCAAGAAAACAAGTGAGTGACTCTATTGGTCAAAACTAGATTAAGTTTTCCATCGGGACACAAACCAAAAAAGGATGATCCTTCAGTGGCAATAATGGGAGAGACGTGGTCTCAAAATTCCTTCTGTTATTAACTCCACTATCTCCTCCCCGTGCTTAGTGGGAACAGCCGCATGACCACATTTAGAGCACAAGCGGTCAGAAAATTAATAATTCTCAAAGCTCACTGCAGATTCTTGAGAAGGTGTTTGTACATCAGCGTTAGTGGACAGCAGAGATTCACAGACACTGTTCTGGTCTTTGTGAAGGGTGCTTGAAGACAGCCCATGATACAGAGAATACTCGGTATCATAATGTTAATCCATGATAGCACAGAAGATGGGTTGGTTTTTAAAGTTTCAAGATTTTAGGAAACTTGTGGGTGTCTATTCCACCAGTGATCAACCTAACTCGAGCTTGGTATACATTGCAAAAAAAGCAGCTGCAGAGAGGACCCTCAAAACGAAGGTGAGTTCAGCACGAGAGGAAAATTATCTTGGAGCAGCAGGCACCTAGGAGTCCTCAGAGACCCCTAATGGGCATTGCCCCTATTCTTTCTCTTCATGAAAGGGAGGAGGAGAGAAAACAGTCCCCACTAAGCATACACATGGAAAACTGTTCATACTAAGGCAAAGGGCTGAGATGAGATTGCCTGGAGTACAGAGCAGAGATGTAAAATGAAACAGAGGCGTGACCATAGCAAAGCTGGAAGGAGGAGATAGTATTCCTGATGTCTGCCAGCCTCCTGCTGCTCCCTCTCCTGGTGAGCTGTGGCTTCCCCCTCCCAGAAGCAATTCTCTTCTTACCCCCTTCCAAGAGCTGCTTTGCTTTTTCTGCTTTCAATTTCTGAAATTCAGTTCTTTCCCTAACTGCAAGTTTGTAGGTCTTAACTCCTTCCATTTCCCTTTGGCTCTTCCTTTCTCTTTTTTAAGTAGTTTAGCAACTATGACAGGTTGTGCAAGTGAGTGCCAAGGAAAAGGAGAATGCAAACAGAAGCAATGCTATTTGTGTTCTGACAGCACTAGCAAATAGACCTCTACGAACAAGAGCTGAGCAGCCTATGGATAACGTCAGCAAAGCAAACCAGAACATACACACGGACAGATCTCATGCAGACAACACAGAGTGTGGTGTAGCACAAGGGACACAGATACCATTATCTAGAGTTTTCAGAAACAAAAGCAGAGATGAAGAGATTCAAGCAATGTTAACTCACAAACAGCTGAACCAGAAGGCTGGAGGCCTTTCTGACCTGCAGTCCACACTTCTACCTACATTGAATTGTCCTCCCCAGTTACTAGCTATACTTCCCTCAGCATAAATGAGTGTTTTTCTTACCTGCATCATCTGAGACATCGTGTCATTGCCGTAGTAGTGCAAAGAACTGTTTTTGTCAGTGAAGTCATACTTGAAGCCTGCCAGGTGAACTTCATGGCATATGTGAAACGCGAGCGTAATGGCAATCAGCCCTGTTGTTGGATGCTTGGGTTTCTGAAAATAAACACAAAGAGCACACATACATAAATAACTGGCAACTTGATGGGAAGAGCAAACCTAAGAATGAAGACAGCAGAAATCAGGCAGCCTGGCTCTTGTACAGATGTTTGGTTTTGTCGTTTATCCCCCCCATGTCCCATAAGGAGCATGGTACTGCCCGTGGGTTTGCAACACCAGCATGTCTGCCGTGTTGGACTTCCCTGGGATTCTCTGGTTCCTAGTGAGGACTGAGCCTGTACTGTAGCCCTTCCCCCTGCATAGTCACCAGGAAGATCTCTGCATCCCCCTGCTCAGCAACCTGCTTTCATGAAACTGGTCAGGCTTCAACATATTGGAGACCATCTCACCCCGTCAAATTTGACTAAATTAGCAGAAGTGTTCAGAAGTTTCTAGATGATGGAGATGCAGACAAACAGAACAACATGACATGTCTCAGAGCTTCATAACACCAAGATAAAATAGCACGAATGCTACTGCTACATAAACTTGGCTGCACCTAAAATTGTTCAAAGCAGGGAAATTCCAGAATAACACAATTTCAGACCTTCCCCCACTATTTCCATTAACAGGCATCAGGCCAAGAGGGAATGGCCTCAAGCTGCGCCAGGGCAGGGTCAGACTGGCTCTTAGGAAGTATTTCTTTGCAGAAGGGGTTGTTGGGCGTTGGAATGGGCTGCCCAGGGCAGGGGGGGAGTCCCCATCCCTGGAGGGGTTGAAGAGTCGGGCTGACCCAGCGCTGAGGGATCTGGTGGAGTTGGGAACGGTCAGGGTGAGGTTCATGGTTGGGCTGGAGGAGCTTCAAGGGCTTTTCCAACCCAGATGATTCTGTGATTCTAAGAAGAAAAGAAACTGTAGATAAAATTGCTTATTTCTCCCTATCGTGAGATAGCTCAGAAGTAAACACAACCTAAAATATCAAGAACAGATCATAAACAGGTTTTAACTGTGCAAAATTAAGGGCACCTAACCAAAAATTAGCATTTCTTTACAAAAGCATAGCTCATTACAACCATCCATCCTAACTCGTGATCAAGTACATGACTGTTTTAGCAGCAGGTGTGGATAAAATGGTCTGGGGAAGTAAATGAGATGAGGTTTGTAGAGAGAGGTGAACTCTTTCATTAGACCAACAGACAAAGCTGAACGAAAAACGTGTCCCCAGAAACAGACAAAACTTTAAGCCTTCTTAGCTAAAGTAATAGTTTTCTCAGAGACACTTTCAGCAGCTGCAATAAAACCTCAAACTGAGCACAAAATCACATGCTTTTCTGTACTCTTACCCAAGGTTCAGTTCATCTGCCTCTGAAAACAAAGCAGGCAAACCAGTACTGGACAACTCTGTGCAGAGAGAACGCAGATGCACTTGATACAGAAAAATATTTCTTTGTATTGTATGATGAAAGAACAAATGCCCGGGAAAAAGTTAACATCAGTGCTGTAAGCCTAATTAAAGTGATAGAATTGAACCATCACCTTTTGTGTAGATGTTTTTTTGATCTTTATACAACTCTTGGAGTACTCCAGAAATAACATCAATTTAAAATGCACACTATTGCTCAGGGCTCCTGCCAGTCAGCAAAATAACTTTCTGCCCTGGGGGCCCAATATCATAAACTTGTAATGTCCATACTAAATAAGACCCCAAAATTGCAGCAGGAATGCTACATGTCAGGGTTAGTGCTATTTGGAAATACCAGGAATATCACAGGTTGCAGCTAGCTCTGTTTACCTTTGGCCATCAAAGTTCACCGCAAAAGGATACACTAAAAAAGGCAATGCTACTTTTAAAATGCATTATGGTGCTAGTGCCTCAGAAAAAAACAGATACCCTTGGCCTGTAATGACATTTCTTCAGCCAGTCACCTTTAATGAGAACAAGACAGTCCTGGAGTGACCGTGCAACACTTTCTGACTTCAGTGCTGCTGGGACAGCACATCTGATTTCACAGTTGTTCTTCCCAGCTCTGCCAACACAGAAACAAAAATGCTCGCTGGATTCACACAACTGTGCACACAGGGACCATGAGACCAGCTTAAAGGAAAAGGCAGGGACAGCAGGCTGCAGAGGGGGCTGGAGCACAGCACAGCGAAGGCAGCAGTGGCCCTCCCCAGGGACACACTAGGGTACCCCCTGGAGGGGTTGAAGAGTCAGGTTGACCCAGTGCTAAGGGATCTGGTGGAATTGGGAACAGTGAGGGTGAGGTGCATGGTTGGGCTGGAGGAGCTTCAAGGGCTTTTCCAACTGAGATGATTCTGCAATTCTGGACCCAAAGTGATGGAGGGGCCTATGCCTGAGTACTAGCTCCAGGACACCACTCACATCTCTCTGGCTCACTGACGGCACTGGTCTTACTTTTTTTTCCACTGAGAGGGGAGCACAGAAAGAGGCAGGAGGCATTTCTGGAGCCATGTATGCAACACATGTTCTGTGGCCCTTTAGGAGATAATTTGGAGCCCAACTACTATGCTGCTTTCTTCCCACCTTTAGCTGAAGAGCTGAAATGCCACGGAACACTGGCAAGCATGCAGTCAAACTGGGTATTCCAGTTTGAGAGCTAATAAGGGAAGAAAAAGACACTAGTAGGCTCAAAAAAAAAAAAAAATTATAAAAAGAGAAATTTTTTTAAAGAGCACAAAAATACCCCCAAAGCAAAAAAAAAAAACCAAACCAAACCTCAACCCCCTCAACTATTAGAAGGATTAAACCAGAAAAAAGTTGTGGTAGATACTTCACAGTGCCAGCCTATCAAATGTTTCCACATATGTCAGTTGGCTGATCCCCCCCCTGATGAAGCAGCTCTGTGGAAGGATGTGTCCCCAGGGAGCCGTGTTTGTGCTCAGCAGCACACAGTCAGGCCTGGCTGAGCAAGGGAGGTCTCCAGCTTAAAGCTTTACCTTTCATCAGAAACATTCTTCAGTCAAAAACTGACAAGTTAAAATGTATTTTTATGTCCAAATTGTTGGTTAACTCATTACAATGCTTGGCATCAAACCAGTAAGCACAAGAATGCTGCTAGACATATGTCATTAGCACAGGGCTGGAATATCCTGTGGGCTCCCTAGTCCCTGCCCACCCCCAGCAGCCTGAAACTGCAGCAATGTTAGAATTACTGTGTCACTGGGGGTTTGGGGGGCTTTGTTTGTTTGGTGTGTGGGGTTTTTTTGGTATTTTGTCTTTGTGGGATTTTTTGGGGATTTTTCTGAGGAGGTTTTTTTGCTAGTTTTTTTCTTTTTTAAGAAAAACTAGAAAGCACCCTGCATTTAATAATTCAAGACTCCTTAATATTTCTAGAAGCTCTTTGTATCTGCCATGTTCCAATGTCTGTCTGATTTTCCCAATTCTGTAAAAGGTATCATGTCTGTCCGCAAAAGTGGTCTCATTTAATATTATTTAGAGAATCAATAAAAAAATATTTTTGGCACACAAGACTACCCACTCTCTTTTTGGATTCCATTTTCCCATCTTTTATGAGGGCCATCTAAACGCAAACTCATGCAATGTGACCTTGCAAGATGTTCTAACATAGACCACATAATAAAGAGGTAATTACCTCTGAGTACACATTTGGTTGCACAAGACTAAAAGGCACAGAAGAAAAAAGCCTACCTCCTTTCTGGGAAACCTCGTTGGGAAGCGAAGCCATTCATAAGCAGTTTTTCTGGTAATGCTGGGATCAAGAATCCTGATTTGACTAGATTTGTATATCATGTTCAGAGCCGGTTTCTTCCAAAAGCCTTTAGCACTCTGTAACAGGCAAGCAAATAACCATTTTTAACAGCAATAAAAGAGTTGATTTTCATTTTGTAGAAACTCTAACCAGACTAAAAATCCAAGGGCAGAAGGTTGAAGATGACTGCTGAACCTCCCAAAGCTCAACAAAAACACGTGCCAAATTGTGCTCCTGCAACAGGATAACCCACTGCAGCAGTGGTTGGGGCTGGCTGGCTGGAAAAGGGCTTTGTAAAGGTCCCTGATGGACAACATGCACCAGGAGTGTGCCCTGGAAGCAGCAAATGATCTCTGTGGGCTCGGTCACATTAATAGGAACAGTAAAGAACAGGTAGACAGAAGTTATTATTCTCAAGTACCTTGTACTGTGCCTTTCTGTGGTCTCACAAATGCTGTTTTGGGCTCCCCCCTGTACAAGAGAGTCAAACTGGGGCAAGCTCAGCAGAAGGCCACTAAAATGGCTGAGGGGCCAGAGAACACAGCAAACAAGAAGGGTCTGAGGCGGCTGGGATTGTTCAGCCCATCTTCAACTATCTGGTAGGGTTTACAAAAAGAGACAGGATCAGACTCTTCTCAGAGGTGCACAGTGAAAGGATAAGGAGAAATTCTTTCCTGTGAGGATGCTGCAGCACTGACACAGAGGTGGAAGAAATATCCTTGGAAACACTCAAAGCTTACGTGGACAATGCCCTGAGACCCTGGTATGGCTTTGAATGTGGCCCTGCTTTCTTTCAACACGGTTTTGGACTAAAGACCATCAGGGAGAGGTCCCTTCCAACATTATATTGCACTTCCACCAAGTGTGCAGAAGAAAATAATCTGGGAAATGGTTGGACCATGCATGTCAGAATATGAAACAGTACTTGAAGAGGATAAAAAGGTATTTCCAAGAGGAAAACCGCTTTAGGGTGAGGAACTGATTAAATGTGTGCGAGCAAGAGGACAGAAGCATTTATAGGAAAAGGATATCAAGCAAACTAAGAGATCCATCACTCCCCCCATCTAAGGACTAAGGTTAAAAGCAAACCAGGTATTTCATGTGAGAGGTATATGGTAAGCTGAGCCAAAGTGCACAAATAATTAAACTCACTATTTTCTGACCACTTAGTATCTCCCAAAGCCACTTCAAGTCACGTGGTTTGAATACGATGAGAACAACAGTCGTATTAGGGTCGTAGTGGATTGGATCTGAGAAGATGGATTCCGGGTAAGAAAGGCGGAAAGTTGTCCTCCTCCCAACATCCTCTTCGTACCCTATAACAGGGCCATTATTCATTCTGCAGGGGACAGAGACAGCAGTGACCACCCCACCCATGTGTCAGTACTGTGTGGTGGGCAGACAGCATGTCCAGGTACAGGAGGGTTTAGTGGTCAGCATTTACTTATCACATTACAAGGTAGATGAGCAATTATCAGGTGCACTCACCCTCTAATCTAATTCAGAGGGATCAAGCACGTATGGGAACTTGGCCAAGGTAGTTTAGAATACAATCACACAATTGCTTATCGTGTGCCACTTGAGCAGGTGGCCCTCTGGTTTGGCTCAAACACAGAAACTGGAGAAGACCAAAGAGAATATCTGGCTTGGAGAAGCACCCACTGCTCCGTTCAGGCTACCAGATGATCTGAGTCATACAGGAGGCCATTCAAGAATATTTTACTACTCTTCACTGTCTACAGTATACAGGAACACAGATTACGACTGTGTACCTGATGCTGATACATCTTTATGTTTGCCTTTTTTTGTTTGTTTGGGGTTTTTGGGGGGACATTTTTTTCTTTTTTTAAATATTACTTGCACAGCTGCCATGGCTTTGGGATATAGCCAAATAAGCAGTGAGCAGGCAGGGCAGGTGTCTCTGCTCTGAGGTGTTAGAGGGTCTGTGTTTTAAGTCTCCACCCTGCAGCTTGGTGGGTGCATTGCATATTCTTTGACTAATTCAGGCATTCTCTGTACACTCCACTCTTGCCAACGTGACTGACTGCTCAGAATGAGAGGCATGCTGCTTAAGAGCAAATGTTTGCAAAACAAGGTATGGAGACAGGGGAATATCTTAGAGTTTTTTCAGAAGTTATCATTAATACAGAATGCAAACACCACCTCTTTGTTCATTCATAGTGAACAAATATGTACCATATTTCTCAAACAGTTTTGAATTTAAAGTTGTTTTTAAATGTGTGACAACAGTCTACATAAAGATTTCCACTTAAGAAGAGTAAATAAAGTGACAGGGAGCCCAAATACTTGAAAGGGCTTAAAAATAATCCATGGAGCTTCCTTGCATCATTATACTACAGTGAAAATATGTGCAAGGTGAGGTTTTTTTTGTAAAGTGCAAAGTTGTCAGGCAAGTAAAGTTTCCTAAGAATGGGGATATTATCATGATCACTTTCTATAGTTTTAAGTTTATATGAGGAGCCACAACTGAAGAATTGCATGTATTCTTTTCAAATGCACGTCAAACTCGAGGCTTTCTATGTAACATTACTGTAGTGCTTGAAGGCCGAAACACTATCACTACAATGAGCATTAGGATTGATGGCAAAGTAACAAAAATGAGATTTTGTTCAATATTCAACACAATGCTGAAGAAAATTGAAATGGCAGCTCACAGGTTTTAGTAAAAGAGGGCCGAGCATGCTATCTGACAGGGTACCTACAGGCAGAAGGGCTGTTTAATCAGCTACCACCTCAGTTCCTGCAAAGGAGAAACTGATTCATCTTTTTCTTAATGTGCAGAGAATTTTGTTACAATTAGCCAATTTTCAGTTTGCTTGGCATTTAACTTTTTTTTCCCCCCCCTCAATTTGCCTGTTCCTCTCTAAGCACTACCCCCATTTCTCTACCAGATGCCTTTGCTTCAGACCCCAGCATCCTCTGGTAGGTCAAGGCACCTCAAACTTCCAATATCATCCTCCAGTTGACACATGGCTTGAGATGGACTTCCCAGCATGTATGTTATGTTTAATTCGCTCTGAGCAATGCCCATGCCAGCCCTGGAGTAAGACAGGCGTGGTGTGGAAGGTAAGAGGCAGGGCTGCCTGGGATGCTGGCTCACAGCGAGGGGCACGTGCAGGGCTCCAGGCTGTCACAGGCTTGGACCCATCCCCAATGGCAGCATTTCATACATATGTATCCGTACACGTGGATCCTTCTTCCCCCTGTATCTATCAGTCTGTGTAATAAAAAACTAATTCATTTTTTCCTAAAGTTTTTTTAAATTAAGGCTGTGACAGAATAAGTAAACCGGGAAGTTTTATACATTTCCATCTGTAAAATTGAACTCCAAAGCTACTGGCTGACAGCAAAACTCTGAATTCTTTGTATGTACACAAAATTAAAAGAAGATCCATTTACCTTATTATCACATCATATGAGTCAATCTTCTCCCCTAACGTCTTATTTCGAAGTACTCCTCCATTACCAACCACAACACACCGTCGACAGGCAACACTGCGGAACAAACAGAAGTTTTAATATGCACTTCTTCACTTGCTTCATATTGTTATTAATGATATATTTGCATTGTGCTGGCTTTTTACTAATTGAGGTCCTTGGCCCCTACAGAGCAGTCTCAATCCTCTATCACATGCTAAGGCTGCTTTAAAAAAAAAATGCAGCTGCATTATTTCGGGGACCACCGAAGTCAGGAAATTACTTCTCTCTCACATAAAGCTGGTTTAATACATGTCCTTTTGCTAGTGGTTTGCTGTTTAAGATCATCTAACCAGTTGGGGATACAGGTGCCCTAAGATAAATAATCTTCCACAGGGCTTCAAACCTGTCCCAGTCTGGGGCTATACCGACCAGGATAGAGTATGTCTGGAAAAACTAACTCAGATTAAGGTGCTTCTACAACATTGTACAACTCCACAGCTTTGGAGATCTCCAAATAAGCTATATCAGCAAGATTTATGTTCACAATTTATGTTACAGGCCTCTGAACTGTACATGTGAAAAACCTTAGCCCAACGACACGTGTGAGGGCTCTTCAAATTAACATGATCATGCTGATTTTTCTCCCTCTATTTAGAAAGTGTTGTCTAAACACATTTCAGCATGTGCTGAAGGGCATGCTGTCATGACATAAGGATAAGATTAATTAAGATGCATTCTCATATGACCAGATTCAAATTAAACTGCGTTATTAAGAATATAAAACAGAGCTACAAATTAGATCTTACACTACGTCCAGTCAAAATAGCAATTCCCTTTGAATTTAGAATATATTCAGAGTTTAAAAGCACCCAAAAAAGATATTATGCAAATGTTGAACTCATGAAAGTACATTCTAATGGTAAGATTTTCCTAGTTATCCCAGGTTTTCTATGTATATCTTTTGCTCTCTGCTTTCTTATGTCAGTGAGAGTAAAATGCGTGCTTTGCTAAAAAAAGAAGAGAGGCACACGCAGGCTTACTGTTGTTTTACAAAAGAAATTATGCCACTTTAGGGAAGGTTTACATCCAGAACAAGCACATCATTTTTTGATGTAAAAATGTTTCTTTATTTAGAGCAAAAGCTTTTCAACTTGGTTGCAGCAGGAACAATGGAAAAATAAAAATGTTGGTATTTTCTTCAGACACAAACAGGCTCACAGCTTACTGAGGATAAGCCACCCCCCAACGTCCCACTCCCACAGTTCTGCAAACAAGGAAAAGGCTCTACGCCATTTCTTACTGTAGGGGACCCCAGGACTGTGTCCCAAAGAATACTATAATCTGTATTAAATGCCCAATGGGGCACTTTATGCAAACTAATTATTATGTTTCTCCACAGACAGTCCGAACTTTTTTCAGCTGAGAAGAGTATTGTTCAACTTTAATGAAAACAGCCTGTTCCACCTGAGACTGACCAATGTACAAAGCAACTCCCTATATCTCCTACAGAATTGTTAATGCAGTTATGCTGCACTGCTGCAAGCTAGGGAAAAGAAATCTGGCCTCAAAGCAATGCTGAGAAACTGAAGCTTACAGAAAAGGATGAAATAAGAATAAGTGCCAATTGTAAAAAGCACCGTATTTCAAAAGAAATGCTGGGATGATGCCTTCTCACCCGCTGCTCTACGGCCACATCTGCAGAGGGAGTTGCCTATATAAAAATTTTTATATATACATATGAAAAAATAAAAATAGTGGTGCTAAATGCAGCTCTCAGGATGGAGTGACATGGAAAAAGCTGGCACACCTTTCTCTAGTGTTTCCTGAGCAGCTTAGTAGAAGCCAAGCATTGATAAAAAGATTCCCAGCTAATGCCACAAGTCCATCTGACTCAGTACCCTGGAAATCAGAGGGGTGAAAACCTGTCACACTGCCCTATCCTCAGTATGCCTGTGCCCTCTACACCCACAAAACCCTTCCCTCTCTACTCCTGGACTGCTTCAGCCTGTTCATTTTCCAATCAGTTTTTCAATAGTTTTAAGACACCCTGAGAAAGCAGGCTGATGAACACATGCCTCTGGCAGTTTATAGTGGCAGGAAGGGAGAACAAGTTACCCTTTTGCTGAATTACACTTTGTCACTTGCAGCTATATCCTAGAGCTCAAAGATCATGGGCTACAGAGAAGCAACAGTGAGAAGAAACGGGAAGGAAAAAGGAAAATTGGACGAAGACCATGATCAGTAAATGATGAAGGTGGAATGAGGGAGAGGAGGGGAAAGCACAGAATTAGCATGTGACTATATCACATTTTCCTGTCATCTACAGTGTGCCTCTAAACCACTGAAAGTTTCAATCATCTCAAACCTCTGAATCAACTGTCACCAAAAGTTATGTGGCCGCAGCTGGGTAACTGAGGTACAAACCTCACCACCACAATGCAAATCTTAAACTGCTACTCATAGTCCAACTCCTGGTGGTAATTCCCAAGTAGGGCACCCATCCATCCCCGATGCATCCCCCGATGGTGGGCACCCTGGTTTGGCAGTGACTGACACCATGCAGGAACTCATCTTCAGGTCTCAATAGAAAGCTAGAAAAATTGCTCCAAATCTTGCTGAATATTTTCTTTTATACTCTCTGACTACTTAGTGTGAATTCACAAAAATAATGTGAACACCACTACAAGTGATTTGCATTATTCTGACCATAATAAGCAGCCAAAAAAGTTACTTTGAGGAGGCGCTGCTTGTTCTGCCCCTTGTAGATGAACTTAATCAACTCCTTATTGCAAACCTTCCAATTTTTGGCAGAGGCTATGATTTAAGAAGCTTCTTCACTATGTCAATCTAGCTACTGAAACACCTTCTGGTGTAAAACTTTCCTCTCTGCACTGTGCAGCTGTGATGTAGCAGGACACCTCAGGGCAGGGAGGGTGAAACAAAACACGACTTCAGAACTGAGCAACTGAGGTTTGTGCAACTACAGAAGCAGCTGGGTAACTGCTCTCAAGTCAAATCTGAACTTTCCTCCCTCTTACTGATGATTTGGACCAGACCTTATTTGCAGCTAAGAGCTGACTAATACTACTTGGATGGAAAACAGAATGAAAATATATGTTTGATTAAGCTTTTAAACTCCAGTGCCCTTAGTAACATGCATAGTCAAAAATAAAGTTACCAGCTGCCTTCAAAATAACCAATAAAGCATCTAACACTGGTATGTGAACTTTAGAAATGGATAAAGTCAACAAGCAGATCAAATACTCCTAATGAATTGTACATTAATACAGTCATAAGTACAGCCAAACAAATTAGAAACCAGCTTTTAATATCTGTCAAACTCAGGAAGTCAAAGTGGGCCAACTCAAACAGGAAGTCTGGCACGAGTGTGCTACTTCTGAATTGTCCCCTCCCCTGAGCCACTCCCCCAGTATTCAAGTGGCTCCAGTTAGGATCACAGGGCTATGTCCACAGCAGCAGTCCACTGACAATGATAAGCAGGGATGGAAATGGTTTGTGCTAGAGTGAAACAACAGAACACAATATCATAGGAAACAAACCTATGAAAAGGAGATAAAGAATATGTAGCAAGCCTAGACTGTATTCTAAGATATAGAAGTTAAACTGACCTGTACTTACTGTAGATCACAGAAATCAAACACTGATTTTCAGCAGTTTCTCTCAGATATTTTACTAACTCCACTTCTTAAAAGTTTCCTTTTCATAATGTTTCCATATTAAAAAAAACCCAAACACACCAATGAGTGAGTAAACACCCTTTCTCCAACTCAATAAATTGCCAAGAGGAGAAATAAATTCAGATGTCCTTAACATCAGGTGTGCTGCAAGTGAAATATAACCTGGAGGTCCAACTCAGAACCAGAAGTGCTAAAAGAACATTTTCCTAGCCTTTAAAAAAAATATAGTTAAATGGAAATGTAGCCTTTAAAGGTTAAAAGGCTTGCATCCTCCACATTCCACTGAAATACTGTTACTCTGAAAAAGGAAAAAGATCATCTCAACCTCAACTCCTTTAACACAAACCCCCATAGTCTGTTGAGGAATGCAAATTATTTCCTTTGAGGTTATTTGGTAAAAGGAGGATGCAGAGGTCACATTTAGTTGATGCAGGATTGTGTTAACGCATCTGTAAGAATTTACTGCTGTTGAGCTTAGAGTCCTAAGAGTGCCTAGTGAGTAATTATGAGGATATAGGTAGAGCTGGTGTTCAGAGATTACTCTGAGGATATACCCCTAGCCTGGAAAACCCTTCTCCTAAAGCCTGATCCACTGAAGTCAGTGACACTGTTCACTTCCAGTGTTGGACAACTATACTTTTACACAGTGAGAATTCCACCTAAGTTTGGAAAATGGCACTGTTCAGAAAAAGATCCTTTGTGGCTCACTATGTACAGTTTTACCTAAGCTGCACACAAATACAGCTATATCAGGACCGTAGATTTGGTGCTAATTAATATAGCCTAAGATTTGTTAAAATACTTTATAGCAGATTCCCCTACTCTGCCCCGAGAAAAGTTATAGGGAAATTTGTTTTGCATTCTGCCAAGATGGTTGAATTAGACAGCTGCCTAACAATTCTCTATTATCAGAGAATATTGTTAGGATTAATTCCCAAAGTGTTTCACATTTAAAAGCCACTGTACCTTGGTTAAATGTATATATAAAAGCTATTCCTTACTACAGTGATTCATGCCCTAACAGTGCTATACACAAAACCTGGTGGATCTAGAAAGAATATGTTTTATGAAGTCACTGTGCATTTGATTTTCTTATACTACTGCCTATTAAAATAGTAGTAATTCTCATTTTGTTTCAGTACTACTGACATATATTACTTTTATAAAATGAAGCATACTCTCCAGAACCACTAAAAATAATCTCAGAGAATGTACACTCAAAGGATAAATACCAATTTCCTTACTTTTGATCTATAGGACAGACACTTCCATTTAAAAGGTACTATGCAAGTATCTCTACTTTTCAGCCAAAATTATTACAGTGCCTAACTTGTGATTTCAGGAATCTTCTAAGACAACATCTGGCCATTTCCTTCAAACACCAGTCAAGAAACCAGACTTTGCCAGCCACTTCTGTATAAGTTGCCCCAATTACCACACTCCTGATAGAAAATAGGGGTTTTTTTTTTTCCTTTTTTATTCCCCTCTGCTTAACTTAAGAGTAAACCTGAACATTCTAGAAATAGATACTAAACACAGGGAAAGGAAGGAGAAAAGGAAAAATAGATACTAAATACAGGAAATAGATACTAAAGGAAATAGATACTAAACACAGGGAAAGGAAGGAGAAAGCAGGTGAAAAGGAAAACAGTATTAAAACCAAGATAATTCTTAGGCTTGAACACCAATTATTTTGATCATATTCCACCCAGTTTTAATTAAAATGTGATCCTGGCGTTTGGCTTGAGGCAGCAATCTCCTGTATGATCTCCCTGATTAAGAAATAAAACCAAGTCCAGCCAACCTCAACATTATTTGCAGTCAACTCTATTAAGCAGTCTGCATATTAACATGACCTATGGAAGGCTGTCAGACTATTTTGCTAGGCTGCAGACCTAAGTAGTCATTTGCATCACTTGGTAAACACAGGGGTTTTGTGTACTTGCCAACCCTACTACACTACTACCTCCACACCCCCAAAAACAAAAATCCCCAAACCACAACAAGACACACACACACACACACACACACACAGAAAGACCCTCCAAAACCAAACAAAAAAGCCCAGAAGTGACTTTTAACCAAGTTAACCAAGAGATTTAAACTGGGCAATCTAATGCACTAGAAGTGAGCTATCTAAGGCATGCTCCACTCCGTGCCACACCCTGGTTACTCCCAAAAGGCCAGGAACAGCCTCCCCTGGCTGCCTACGTCTCCTCATTCATGGGAAAAGGAAACAGCATACACATGAAAAAGGGTGTGCAGCAGGCCAGCGGATGCACTGGCACGGGGATATATGAGTAAGATTTCTTTTTGTGTAAAAACAGTCGTTGGGTTGGCATCTGCTTATCTCAGATATCCTCTTACACTAATAAGGACTTTGAAAGAGGAGGCCACATTCAATTTTTAAGGGGTGATTTCACTTTCCTCGGCATAAAAGACAGTACAGGAAGATGGGACTGTATTCAGCTAGCAAATTCCTAATGCACTTACAAAAAGAAACCTGTAAGTTTAAGTTCCCTCACAAAATAATTATTCTTGAATGCTGGTGCTATGTATGTTTAAAACCCAACTTATTTAAATCTTGGAATCAGTTACATATTGCTTGGACACTGTCAGTCAGATCTGCATCCTGGCTAACAAGCCATTTCATGACAATGCCACTGACATTCCTTTTCAGATAAATATTAAATACTAAAAATGCAGTGAACAGAAACAGCAACAAACAAACCATCTCACCTGTCATTTTCACTGGAAAGTCCACAGTTCTGAAGTCTTGAAAGGGCTAAACGAAAAAATTGCTCTAGAAAGCAAATATAAAGAAGATTAATGGAACTGTTCAGTGCTTTCCAATATAAAAATAAGCATACCACCCTGACCACAGCATTTTCAGACACAGTAGTTTTTATGCACTGTGCATAAAAAACTCAAGAACATTTGTAATTTAGGACCACAGGTCAACCAGTGATGCCAAAGAAATTCAGGTTTATCAGAGCTCCTTTCTGGGAAGCTTTTACTACCTGAACATGCCCTTGTGGGAAAATAGCATGTGATTTGTATTAAAAAAAAAAAAATCTTAGTCACAGTAAATAAGCACTGAGTTTCCAAGACCTGCATCCTAACTGAGTTTGTTTTTCCTTCTACCCACCTTCAGCTGAAACAGCAGCAGCCTTGACCCATGAGGAGGGGCCAGGGAAAGTAACAGCATTAGGTATCTTGGGAGGAGGCACCACACCAGCCTGTGCTCACTGGCCAAGCTGGGCAGAGGCACCTTCCCTTGGTGGGCAGGCACCTGCTGGACTCCCAACATGCCTCCAACTGAGAGGGGGCCTCAACTCATGCCCAAACGTGCTTCTCCTCACTGCAACCCCAGAAGTGCAGGAAAACACACCTTCCTTATTACACTGATGGAGGCAATTCCAGAGTCTAAAGCCCAGATTCACAGGGTACTAGGAAGGAACACTGTTCAATGCTAAAAATTTTGAGATGTGCAACTTTACAACCCTTTTCAAACAGGCTACTAAGACCCTTAGGGTCTCCAGACCAGTTTAATCTGCCCTGAGCAATGCGGGTAGCAGGCACAAGCCAGCAAACACTTTGCAGGCTTACAGCAGCCATGCAAGAGCAGGACTACCCCCTGCAGCCCCAGTGACACCTTCCCTGGTGGGAGAGGCCAGCCCAGTAAAAGGAAAAACTGGCCCAGCCTGGGGACTCTGGATCCTTACTGGCTTAAGTGTTGATCAAACCCCATCACACTGACCCAGCTAATATTACACCTAGCAAGGCACTAGTTAAATATTTTTAGCACTCCAACCCACATACAAACAAAAGGAAGCTGAATAAGCTCCACTCTTCCTCACTCCCACCTTTTTGGAGCTTCTCTGCTAAGAGGGGCACTCCAACACGGTGTTTTATTTGTTAAAAACAGTAAGGTGCCAGGTCAGAGGGAATAAATGAAACCATTAAGTCAGTGCTAGATACCCACGAAAAGGACTGGCATCAGTCAACAGGAAGGACCAGGGCCAGACATTTTGGTGGCATTACACACCATTTAGATATTTCTGTTTAAAAACAATGTACATGGGGAACACAAACCTGCTCTCTTTATTCCATAAGGTAGTTCAAACTTATCGCTCCCATGGAACTCCGCCACTCTGATAAAATCATTAGCACACAGGAATGGGTATATTTTGTCAACACTAATGAAGGGAAAAAGAAATCCACAAGATGTATTTGAATAAGCCAGTAATTCATGCAGTTGCTTTTTAAAAAGCTTTCTTTAGCCTACTTCAAGTATTATCAATTTTTAAAAGAAGAAAAGTCATGAACACAAGAAAGCAGGTGACAGAAAAGGGGAAGATTTTATAATGAAAAATATAAGTAGAGAGTGAGAGAAAAAGTTTTATAAAGTCATTAAAATTGCACAACTGAAAGCTTATACCATGAGACAGCATATTTAAGAGAATACATAACCCAGGAAGATAATTACTAACTTCAGGTTTGAAAAGTATGTAACAGAGGCAGCAAGGAAAGATAAGAGTTGTTCTTATATATGGCAATTTAATAAATAAGAATGAGATTTGAAACAAGATGTTTTAACTTGAAAATACCATCTCCTGAAGACATCAGCTTATTTGAGATGTGCTCCCATTCTAAACAGGTGGTACTTTATGGCTGTGCTGACATTAGTAAGTAGTTTGGGGTAACAGGAGTATGTCCATACAGCAAAAAAGTATGGAGTTCTCATGTCCACATTACACACAGCTCATTTGGTTTTTTACTCTGGACCAACTCCAGTAGGGTCCCACTGACTGAACACCCCTTAGCAGCTGCAGTACTTTGGATGTGCTTCTGCAATGCATCTTCTGGCTTAGGCAGAAGTCAGGTGTCTGAAAGGAGCCCAGTGCACAAGTGTCAGGGCCACCTTGCTAAGGGAAATGTGGCACAGAGGTCACAAGGTTTGCCACAACCACACATTGTCCTCTTGCAAACCAGAACACAGCAGCGTCGTACCTTATGAGCATCAAGATAGAAAGAATGGGTCACTTCTTTCTTCAAAAGACGGTGACCACAGACAAGGGTTATCTCATAGCACCCCCTATTACCACATCTGCCAAGTCAAGCCAAATGCATGAACAGCAGACCCAACTCTCTGACATGCTACCGTGCCCTTGGCTTCACCTTAGAGTTAAGTGGACATGCACTCACAGAACTGGTTGACTTCATAGCAATCCTGCACACTACCTCTTGTATTAAAATGTTAACACAGAAGTATACAGTCACAGCGACAAAAACCTAGTGTTGATCATAAATACTGACAGCCAGCACATGATTTGTTTCTCCATTAAGAATAAGCTGTGAAAAAACCCTCCCTCTCAGTTTCACAAATCAAGTATCTCACTCTAACCTCTACGTATTCAGAGGATACTAACAGTAAAAACAAAAAAACCTTACCAACAAAACCCAGCAGAACACCATGGCCCACACACAAAGAACTAGGCCATAGGTTAACTAAGCAGGACCAGCTAAATTTGAGACATCATGGACTAAACACCCACAATAAATTTCATAATTTGCCTTGCTGTTCAGAAACAGCTGGTAAGCTTAGACATAATAAATAATTTACCTACTGCAAAGAGATTCTTAATTCTACCTCTTCTAGCTCTGGTTCCTTTCCAGAAAGTAATTCTGACAGGCTAGAAATCCCTTCAACCTCCCCAGGCTACTGCCAAAGTGCACAGACCAGATCTTCAGCTCACACACACGATCTCTGTCAGAGCTATGGAAATACGCAAGACTCCCTCAGCTAAGACTTGGTCTAAATATCTTCCCAAGCTTTCTCAGAGCCATACTCAGTGTTTGCTCAGGTAAAACATAAAACCAACAATACAGCCTGTCTGCTTCTGGTCTTGTAGCAGTTCCCTGATCTCTCATTTAAGACTTGTGCTTCTAATAACAAAAGCTCCCAGTATTTCCTAACAAAACTCTTGGATGTACTTTTTTAACCAGACATCTCCTTTGTTTTGGGTTGAAGTTGTTCTTTTTTTCATCGGAGTGCTTTTTACAAAGGAAGCTTCTCTTCCTATGAGTACCTTACAGTGGAGGACACCTACACACAATTTAACAATACTATCAGAGGAACAAAAGCATGAATAATCCCAAATTTCATTAAAATTACATTCTATTAAAATTAAAATTCCATTGAAGGAGAAGAATCATTAAAGATTGGATTAATTTTTTCCACATTTCATACTCCTCTTTCTAATAAAATGAGGGTCCCACGCTGCTACAGAAATACTCAGCTAACAAAAAATCTTTACCTTTTAAATCCAGGTTCTTAATAGAATGATGGAGTTTCAGTCTTGGATGTGAAGGCTTGTTTTACAGTAAAGGGGGGTGGTGGTGATTAAAGGCTTGTATTTCAATCATTAAAACAGTTTCACTGTTACTAGCTACAGTATCTGAAGGGGAAGTATTTATTTATTCAGTACATACACCAGCAGCACACTGAGCTAGCTGTGGGTTTTGCTCAGATGCTGATCAGTGGCAAGCTAAACAATTTGTGTTGCCTCAACTAGTAAAAGCAGCAAATGAATCCAAGCCCAAAAGCTGTATTTCCAAAATGAAAAATAGTCCAGAATATGTACATAGCCTACTTCTACCTCAATCAGCACAGTATTTCCTTTCCTCCCCACTTCCCACAGAAGACTCACCCCAGTAAAGATCCAAATGCTGGTTTCAGGAGACAGGTGTCCAGCGCGTTCCTTCTCTCCACAGCCGTAGGTGGCAGCCTGAAAAAGAATTTCAAAGAAATAGCAAGAACAGGAATGGGTGGGAGCAACAAGGTAGGGAAACTTGGACAAGCCAAATTAGTAAGAACTGATTACCGAGTTAACACCACACCAAGCTTTTGTGATTACCTCTCTATTGTAAAGATTGATCTTTCTCGTTGAAGTAAGATTACTTTTACTAGTAAAGGCTTTTATCACAGGGTGCTGCTCCAAAGGGTCTGCAACCTCCCTTGGCTCAGCAACTATCAAAGCAGTCACAACCAGAGGCGAGATCTCAGGCCCACCTGCAGAGAAGCAGGACATGTGGGCTGAACCACCTCTGCAGCCATGCCAGAGAGCATCACCAGCGTCCCTCAGAGAGGAGAGGTGAAGAGACAGCACCACATAGGGTACTTCAAGGAAAATTAGATTCTCTGGGGATAAGGCATTCCTCTCATAATAAGGCTAAGACACTTATAAGCACATTCCCGCCTTGGCGATTTAGCCCAATTAATAACAAATATGAAGCACAGAAGAGAGGGTAAAGTTCAGTGAGAGCAACATGTGCATCTGGGCTGCATTAACAACAGAAGGATGAAATCACCACAGGAGAACCACAAGCCAAAGACACCATTAAGGTTAATTGCTTTTGGTAACCTTGAGTTGTCACGTGAATACTGACACTGAGAAAGCACCCTGTGAAACGTATCAGCTGGCCAGGTTGTTGCTTTCCAGCAGGAGCCTCACAGATGACATTCTGCAGGATGGCCTCAGCAAGAACAGGGACCTGCTTTTAAGTTCTAGCATAGGCACCCATTAGTCCTACAAACCTGATTGCAAGAATTTACTAGCACAAGATCTGCTTATACACGCATTTGCACACCACAAGTGAACAACACCTCTGATTTATTAAATTTGAAACACAAAAGTTGCCCTTGTAGCTCTGCTAATTTCATTCAGGCATAACTCAGAATCGCAGAAATTTGAAAGTTGTAAACAAATATTATTCTAACAATCCATTGCTTGTTACAGTCACTGTAACTGGCCGTAAATATTAACCAAACACTGGAGGCATGACATGGACAAATTCCTTTCTGCCAAACGTGTCACAGTTGTAACAGAAACAGCCGATGGACCCTGCTGTACAATAACCAGTTGAACAGGGAGCCTACAGACAAAGGCTATGGATTTTAATCTCAACCCCTCCCACCTGCCCAAACCCCAAACAAACAAAAAAACACTCAACTGCTGAACTTACTGAGTAACTCCACTAGTCTCATAGGAAGGAGGAGCCCTCACAGAGGCAGTCTGTCCATAAAAGCTAATCCTGAAAAAAGGGAAACATCACCAAACCATGGTTTGCGATAAACAAACCACAACAGAAAGCCATTCACATCAATTGTATGCTATAAACCAGAAAAAGAGGCATGTCAAGCACTACTTCTAAACACTACCATTGTGATCTTCAGAACACAAACACACTGGTCAGTCCTGGTCACAGCTGTGCAAAAGCCAGCGGAAACTCAACTTCTTCGATAAGCACCCTGAATTTTAGGTCCCAAGCCACCTGTCCTGTGCAGCCTGGAGACAGGGAAGGCTCACTTCTCACAAGGTTGCCACTGGGACTCAATAATTTTCAGCTTTTCAAAAGGTGCCCACTACACCTGCAGTTATTCCCATGTGTGGGGCAGGTCTCTCCCACATCACTTATCAGACATCTAAAGGAACAAGCTAACAAAAAACACACATGGAGTGGGAGGAGACATGGACACATGACACACACAAATAAGATCTCCCCACCTGAACAACTATTTTTCATGAAACTCAGAGAGGCTCCCTATCCTTGAGATTCTGACCTCTCCACACAACCAGGCTCAAACCCAACCCACTAGTAGGTTTAAACATGACACAAGAGGGGGCGACAGGACAGAACAGTCACATTCATTCCCTCACAGTACAAAAAACATCAACCACAAAATACCCACACAGAGTAGCAATCACTTCTGTTGATTACTAGCAAACAGCTGTTCAGCAACTCACAGCCACATCTCACACTCTCACAGTGTTTGCACTGCAAGTGAACAAATCATCACCATACCAGTAGAGGTTATTTCTCCACAGATTTCCGTGCAGTATACCATACATAACAGCAGCAGCCAGGATAAAAAACAGAAGAATTCGTTTCATGACTGGTAGACCTGAAATGTAAAGAAAAACAAACCAAATTTAAATCCACATTATACTATTAACATGTACTTTTATAAAGCATCTTGAAACCTATAGAAGAAAATCATCAACTGTTCACCACCACCATAAATTTGATCTCTCCAGTTTGATTTCTCACACAAAATCCCAGTGAGAGGCACTGAACACTGCTTTGCACCTACCACACATGCATGCTCTGCACCCAAGCACTAAGAGAGGTTCACTCTAGGTTCTCCTCGAGGACACAGGTAGAAAATGGGCTTTTCCAGAAACATGTCAGAGGAGGAGCTCCTTTCTGTCCACTGGCAGCCCAAAGAAACCTGCCTCTTGGGTCAGAAACTGGCCTTTACAGGTAGGTCCCTGTGTTTCTCCTCTTTCTTACGCCACCCACTATCAGTTTCCTTAATTACACAGTTAAACAAGCATTGGCACTTTGCAGGAGGCAGACAGGCTGATGCCGATGAAGCAGAACAGGGTATGAGCTGCCACAAGTTCCTACTGGATTTTTTAGGATCACTCAATATTCTTAAAGTCTGGTTTGGAGCATCTAAAGCTGCACTGAAGTTGTCTGCTTGTGCCTTCACATCCTGCAGAGTCTCCATCTCTTGACACAGGCCAGACTTCATTGCTCAAGTAACAGAAAAATGCTATTTTCACACATGGCAAAGCGAGGAAGAAAAGTTAGGACCCAATCTGTAGAATTTACTACATTATGGAGAAATAACAGAGAATGTGTTCATTTTTCACATAAGAGTTTTCACCTCACTGCACAGTCTAGTAAAAGAAAAACAGAAATATCAGAAGCTCATGTATCTGGCAAGACACACTGGAGGAAAATCAAGTTCTGCATTGCTCATGTCTAACACACTGAGCTGCCCTTTCAGTAGCTATGAATGAACTCTTGTTGCTTAATCTTGTGAAAGTCCAAAATAGACTTTCTGGCCACACATTGCTGTGGAAATTTACTTGAGAGCTATATCCTTCTATTATTTTCACTTGTCCCCCTGTCATGGTAAGCAGGCTCAATGCACACAATGCAGAAACACCTACTTGCACATCTATATTTTAAAGTGAAGGTAACAAACAGCTGTCCAGCAAAATCAAGCCAAATCCAATCATACTGCTGCATTTTCCAAGAGCAGAGCCTTGGCTTTATAGTTGGGGTTTTTTTGCAGGGGGGTTTTGTTGTTTTGGCTTTTAAATTCCATATTGCTTTTTAAAATATTTAGAGTTACTGTTATTTTAAACCTCTGTTAAACATCCCTAAGACAATAAAACTCCAAGCAGCTATAGTCCGAATGATTTTAGCAGTATGATTTACACTAGTACCATCTTAACATCATACCTTGTATTAAAGGCCAAGAAACTATTACAGAGCTGCATTTTGTTATTAGAAATTGAGAAGCAAACTACTGCCACTCGCATAGCTTGAAGAAATGCCTAGCTGAACTATTTGTTACAACTTGAGTGCAACAAGCCACCACTTCCTTACTTCCCCCTCCCCATATCCTTCACAGGAGTTTAATTGCAGAGTAAGAGTTTTATACAGCATCTAGCAGTAACCAAACCATGCCATGAACAAGCTATAATCCATCATTTTAAAGTATATCCTCCAGGCCGTCCCGCTCTATTCTGGATTTGCGGTTGCAATTTCAACCTTTCATCCCTTGTTGGGAAGCCACACTGCCTCCTTTACAGTTCCAACTCCCTTGAGTCTTCTTGAAGAGTCACTGCAATTTATTTTTTTTTTTGACAGACACTCTCAGCTTCTAGAGAAAAACCCTAAGTTTTATTAATAGTTTTGTAAGAGTCTTTCCCTAAAACTGCAAGAACATTATAAGAAAACTCACCTACCAGGTTTAGTCAAGTGTCACTAACAGCAATTGGCTCATCATCTTGCGTGCCACCATGTGGCATGTACAGGACAACCAGGTGGTCAGGCCCAGTCAGCATGGGTTTATGAAAGGCCAGTTCTGCTTGACAAACCTGATCTCCTATGACAAGATGATCTGCTTAGTGGATGAGGGAAAGGCTGTAGATGCTGTCTACCTAGACTTTAGTCAAGCTTTGGACACCGTTTCCCACAGCATTCTGGAGAAACTGGCTGGTCGCAGCTTAGATAGGTGTACTCTTCACTGAGTAACAAACCAGCCAGATGGCTGGGCCCAGAGTTGTGGTAAATGGAGTTAAATCCAGTTGGCGGCCGGTCATGAGCGGTAGCCCCAAGGGCTCAGTATTGGAACTAGTTCTGTTTAGTATCTTCATCAATTATCTGGATGAGGGGATCAAGTGCACCCTCAGTCAGTTTGCAGATGACACCCAGTTGGGTGGGAGTGTTGATCTGCTCGAGGGTAGGGAGGCTCTGCAGAGAGACCTGGACAGGCTGGAGCCATGGGCTGAGCCCAACTGGGGGAGTTTCACTAAGGGCAAATGCCGGGGGCTGCCCTTGGGCCACAACAACCCCCAGCAGCACTACAGGCTTGGGGAGGAGTGGCTGAAGAGCTGCCTGGCAGAAAAGGACCCAGAAATACTGACTGATAGTCAGCTGAATATGAGCCAGCACTGTGGCCAAGACATCCTACAGCATCCTAGCTTGTATCAGGAATAGTGTGACCAGCAGGACTAGGGCAGTGATTGTCCCCCTGTACTCAGCAGTGGTGAGGCCACACCTCAAGTACTGCGTTCAGTTTTGGGCCCCTCACTACAAGAAAGACACTGAGGTGCTGGAGTGTGTCCAGAGAAGGGCAATGAAGCTGGTGAAGGGCCTAGAGCACAAATCTTATGAGGAACAGCTGAAGGAACTGGGGTTGCTTAGCCTGGAGGAGGCTGAGGGGAGACCTTATCACTCTACCACTACCTGTAAGGAGGTTGTTGTGAGGTGGGTGTCAGTCTCTTCTCCCAAGTAACAAGGGATGAGAAGGAATGGCCTCAAGTTGCACCAGAGGAGGTTTACCTTGGATATTATGAAAAATTTCTGTACAGAAAGGGTTGTCAAGCAGTAGAACTGGTTGAGTCACCATTCTTCAAACAGTATCATAAGGATTCTGTAACAGCTTTCATTATCTTATATAGGACATTCAGCCTGGCACACACATGAGAATGGAGCATCATTAAGGGTCTACCCAACTCAGCTCTTAGGAACATAAAACAGTCTTTAATTATACAAGTGTCTTCTCAGCATCCCATCCTCCAGTGTCTGGCTTCATTCAGTGCTTTGAAGAGAGAAAGTTCTGTAGTCAAGAAAGATGGTCTTTTTAGTGAAGACTTTCTTAATGCGGTTTAGTAAACAGAATCATTACCTTGTTTACAGAAGAAATTATTCTGGGTGTACTTTTAATGGTGACAGCATTTTCCATTTCCCCCTCCCTATTTAAAGTAGCTTAGTGTTACAGAAAGTTAATAAAAGGAAAACAAACTCCTACAGTACAAATATTGCACTAGAAAACTCCCATAGTCAGAGATCTAAGAAAAAAGGCAATTGAGAGGACACAGTTCACATGTAAAATGACAGTTCTGTTCCAGTTTATTCATCGTAACACAAGACCCAGCATTTTAATTTAAGCCCCTCAACCTGACTGACACAGGTCATGGTGCCCTTAAGTCAAGGTCAGTCAGGTTAAGCAAAACAAGGAGGACAAGGAACAAAACTAATCCAATTCTCTCCTCTTTCCAAAAGGCCTATAGTGATCTACACAATGAAAGGGGTGAGGAACCCAGCACACCAATGCCTGATATTCACAGTGTTAGCTGGTCAATTTTCTGCAAGTAAGCAAGCAATGGGATGCATAAGCCTTGTAAAAAGACTGATGAGCATTTTTGATAGGAATCTAAGCTAGCTTCCACTGTTCAACCTCCCACCCCCACCAAAGCAGAGCTACAAGTACAGAATTAGACAAGACGGACTCTGTTACAGTATTAAGAGATCAACCTGCATCTCTGTCCTGGTTCAGCTAGGATAGGGTTAAGTTTCCCCAGCAGAGAAGGGGGAAGGGATCTCCAGGCAGGTTATTCATACCATGCTGATGTCAGGTCCAAGTGTGGGAGCGTGGGAACTCTTTCATTGGTGGCTTTGGTGGCAGGGAGCATACAAAATGCTTGTTCCGTGACCATTGCAGTATTTCTCTGTATATCTTTTGTCTTGCTTACTGTTATTGCTGTTTATTGTTGTTATCATTGCTACTGTTGTTGTTCAGATTGTTTGTCACACTGTTGTATTAAATTTCTTCTTATTTTAACCCAGGGTTTGTGCCTCACTTCCAGCCTGACCAGCTGAGGGTGGGGGAAAGGCAGTGGCAACGTGGTCTCCGGTCCTAGCAGGGGCTTAAACCAACACAGTCTCCTATGGACAGATGGGTCGACCCCATCTCCCACCAACTCATCACAGAGTCACACTCGGGTATATGAGAAATTAGCTATATAAGCCCAGAGGCTTTTGTTCCCTTGGTGGAAGTGGGGAACCAACATCCTCACCAGAGCTGCACCTTTACTTACAATTAGTCATTATTCTGCTACATCAGTAAACGTGGCATCTGGTAAGAGCCACTATCTCATAGCCTCTGTTTATCTTTCAACTTACACATGCAGTTGATGCAGCCATGCCACTGAATAATCACATGGTAAACTATAGCCATTGGGCTGGGCAATCACATGACCACACTGCAATTCTTCATAGCACTTGCAAGCCTTCTTTTTGCTTTCTTGCTTAAAATTAAGGTGTTTATAATACAAGGCAGGAGGCTTTTTTATCTGTCCTACTTTTTTTGTAAAACACCTTTGACTATCACTAAACAGTTAATAAATATTTAATTAAGTAGTTACTAAATTAAATACTATTCATCTTAAAACAATTTAACTCTATACCTAGTCTTGTGACAGTTTAACTTCTTGCTGCTGCAATTAACTGACAGCAGGAAAATTTCAGCTCACTCAGACCTCAAATTCCTACCCCTTTGTAGTTGTGGGGGAGGAAGGGAAGTCAGCTTGAAAATGTACT